TTTTTTGTATTTTTTAGTAGAGATGGGGTTTCACTATGTTTGCCAGGCTGGTCTTGAACTCCTGACCTCGTGATCCACCCGCCTCAGCCTCCCAAAGTGCTGGAATTATAGGCGTGAGCCACCATGCCATCCTATTTTGTGTACAATTTAATGATTCTCAGTAAATTTATACAGTTGTACAACCATTGCCACTAATTTCAGAACATTTCCATTACCCCGGAAGATCCTTCATGTCTGTTGGCAGTTTGGTTCCCATCCTCAGCCCCAGGGAACCCCTAATCTATTTTTTCTCTCTATGGATTTCATATAAGTAGAATCTTACAGCATGCAGCCTTTTGTGTCTGCGTTCTTTCATTTGTCATAATGTTTTCAAGGTTTTTCTAAGGTTGTGGCATGTAGCAGTATTTCATTCCTTATTATTTCTACATCATATTCCACTTATGGACATACCATATTTTGTGTCTACTTGCCAGTGGGTGGATGTTTAGATTGTGTCAACTTTTTGACTATTATGAAAATGCTTCTGGGGCTGACACTGGTGGCTTCTTTCTATAATCCCAACACTTTGGGAGACAGAGGTTGGAGGATCACTTGAGTGTCCAGAAGTTTGAAACCACCCTGGGCAGCATAGAGTAACACTCTCTCTATGAAGAAAAACTTTAAAAATAAAAAATTAGGCCAGGCGAGGTGGCTCATGCCTGTAATCCCAGCACTTTGGGAGGCCGAGGTGGGTGGGGGTCATGAGGTCAGGAGATTGAGACCCTCCTGGCCAACATGGTGAAACCCCATCTCTACTAAAAATACAAAAATTACCTGGGTGTGGTGGCAGATGCCTGTAATCCCAGCTACTCAGGAGATTGAGGCAGGAGAATTGCTTGAACCCTGGAAGTGGAGGTTGCAGTGAACCAAGCTCGCACCACTGCACTCCAGCCTGGGGAACAAGAGAGAGACTTCATCTCAAAAAAAAAAAAAAGTGTTGTATCAGGTAGCCTCTATGGCATCCTGGAATGATTCTTGCCTCCTGGTGTTCAGACACTGTGAAATCCTCTCCACTTGAATTTTAAAACAAAAACTTTTTTTTTTTTTTTGAGATAAGATTTTACTCTGCCACCCAGGCTGGAGTGCAGTGCCATAATCTGGCTGAGTGCAGTGCCATAATCTGGCTCACTGCAGCCTCCACCTCCCACGCAGGCCCAAGCAATCCTCCTACCTCAGCATTCAGAGCAGCTGGGACTTTAGGCATGCACCACCACACCCGGCTAATTTTTGTTAAATTTTGGGGGATTTATTGGTTGGTTGGTTGGTTGGTTTTTAGGCAGAGTCTTACTCTGTTGCCCAAACTGGAGTACAATGGTGAGATCTCAGTTCATTGTAACCTCTGCCTCCTGGGTTCAAGCAATCCTCCCCAATTAGCCTCCGTGTAGCTGGGATTATAGGCATTCACCATCATGTCCACCATCATGTCCAGAATAATTTTTGTATTTTTAGTAGAGATGACATTTTGTCATGTTGGCCAGAACTCCTTGCCTCAAGTGATTTGCCCACCAGCCTCCCGAAGTGCTGGGTTCACAGGTGTGAGCCCCCACACCACCCAACCAATAAGTGAACATTATGAATGTTCCCTCTTC